AATTTACTGTAATGATGATGTGTGTATTTTAGGTTAGGTTAAGTTAGGTTAAATTTACTTAGGTTAAGTTAGGTTAGGTTAGTATTAGGTTACATTAAGTTATGTTAGGTTAGGTTACGTTACGTTACGTTACCATAAGGTCAAATTTACTTAGCTTAACTTAACCACTTCATCATGCTAAAATACTTAACTACCTCGTAAACACACAGGATATAATTCAGCAGTTACCAGTGTACTTAAATATCACGCCAAAAATATATATAAATGACACAGTTATATATTTTCATTCCTTCCTGTCATGGTGATTAGGTTGTTTGAGTAATCTCTCTGTGACTACCTGGTGTGTACTCGTATTAAAATGACATTGGTATAACTATGTTTGCCTGAGGATGTGGAACGAGTATATATTGGGGTGTAGGTGGGGGTTTTGGGGGTGTAGGGGTGTGTTAAGGGTGTAAGGGGTGTGTTTCGGGGTGTAGGGGGAGTGTTAAGGGTGTAAGGGGTGTGTTTCGGGGTGTAGGGGGAGTGTTAAGGGTGTAAGGGGTGTGTTTCGGGGTGTGGAGTGGGGTGTAGGTGGGTGTTTTGGGGTGTGGGGAGATGTTTCGGGGTGTAACGGGTGTAGGGGGGGGTGTTACCATGAATTACCTCATCTCGTTTTCTTTAGATATCCTTTTTAGACAGCTGTACGTGTAGGAGAGAGAGAGAGAGAGAGAGAGGGAGAGAGAGAATAATTGAAGCTGAGAGAGTAAAAGAATGCAGTTAGTGTGAGTGAACGAGAGTTGATTGGATAATGGGTAAGTGAGAGAGAGGATGGATAGGTAAGTGTGAGAGAGTGAGAGAGAGAGAGAGAGAGAGAGAGAGAGTGGCCGAGTTTGAGTCAGTTAATGAATAAGTCTGTGTGAAAGTGAGTGAGTCTGAGAGTGAGTGAGTCAGAGAGAAGGGGTGGCTAAATGTGAGTGAGTGAGTGAATGGCTGAATGTGAGTGAGTGAGTACTGTCGTAGCTCGCTCTCTTCGTATTTACTTCCGTCCGTTCGTCATAACAAACACATTAATCGTATCATAAAAAGTTCACATGACATAATTCCCTCTAGTTAGGATAATGAACTCGTAATTCGTTATAGCAGAGTGTTAGAACTGTATGTTTTAGCTTACAATGTGAAGTAGTTTAATCGCTTTCTCGTCATTACAGTGAAAAACATTGATAATAATCTTCAAACAACGCATAAAACTTCTACAACTCGAAGTATAAAATGGTGAAGAAATTACAGTGACACTAACATCCCTGAGTTCTGATATCCTCATTTAAGAAATAATATTTACTACGCATTTTTAAGAGATTATAATCCCTGACTTATGCGCTTCTAGCTGCTCTTATCAGCTGACTACATCCCACTTCCTCTCTTGTCGTCTCTTATCGTCACAACGCCACACAGTTCCGTGAGATTCTGATTGTAAATAAGATATTTTTTAACGAAAATAATACTGTGACATTTCATAAACTGACAACACCGATTTCAAGCTTGTTTAGAACAATTCAGGAAGTGTTTATTGACGTCAGCACCATCCATCCGTCATCTTTGTTTTTATTTTACAAAACATAACAACTTCTGTATGACTTCTTGGCGCATTTTTTCACACCAGAACGATAAAAAATATTAGTACTCGTGTTTATATGTTTTTCGTTAGTATAGATACAAATTACTACACAAGTATATTGATATAAAACATATACTGATAAAACAAAGCAGTGAAAAATACATAAACATATATTCTTTTATACATATGACGTTAGATTTTCATATAACGGTTCCTGTTACTCAGTATAGAGGCCACATATAATATAACTCAACGTAATTATATCAACCAATCGATTATATATTGCTACATCGAGATTATAGATAGTTAGATAGATAGATGGATGGATGGATTAGATAAAAAATATATTGTTGGATAGAGATAGATATGTAATTATATTTAGATAGATAGAGGGATAGAGATAAATGAGTAGATAGATAAATAGATAGATAGATAGATAGATAGATAGATGGATGGATGGATGGATTAGATAAAAAATATATTATTGGATAGAGATAGATATGTAATTATATTTAGATAGATAGAGGGATAGAGATAAATAGATAGATAGATAGATAGATAGATAGATAGATAGATAGAGAAACAACAGTAACAACGGCTCTGTTAACAGGAAAAACGAGAAATGAACAAATTGCGGTATTGCTCTCATACTCTGTACCATAATCAACGGTACACACGAGTACTATTAGAGAGAGAGAGAGAGAGAGAGAGAGAGAGAGAGAGAGAGAGAGAGAGAGACCACACAATGCAGGACTGTAGCGTGGCCAACACTCTACAATGGCCATCTCCAGCGTCGAATTGTAAAGAGAAACTATTATTCGAAGCAGCGGCCGACACGTGAACAAACCTTAACAACCTCCAACAACCTATCCTCCCTCTCTATCTTTCACCCGTTAGGATGCTCGTCCTCTTTTGTAACATCCTTATCCAGCGTTGGATTACGGGAAAATTGCCCCTTTGTCAACGCGACGGAGGGGCGGTCACGCTATCCGACTCCAGAGACCACCCCCTCTGTCTCGTATCGTTGTTTCGAACCGTCTCGGCTCTCTCCTCGAACCCTACCTTCATCCATATCCGTCTCTCTTTCACTCTATCATCATTTTCGGCTAATTTTTTCGATTCTTTTATCCTATCTCATTTTTTTATTGCTGTTTTTCTTTTATCTCCCTCTTTTGCATCCCTTCTTTACACCTCACCTGTGTCTCTGTTAATCCCCCCCTACGCTTAACATGTCACCTGAATCGAATCTCAAAGGATGTGTTCTAACCTCCTGTGAAACTTACCTCTTCGTCTCCAAGTTCACAAGATATCGTTCAAGGGGGGAAGATCTATCGTGTACCTTAAGTTTTCGTTCAGTCTTGGTAGGAGTACGGGGTTTGTTCCTTTAGTGGGGAGGGTTTATTCTGGACGAAATATTATGAGAATGGAAGGGGTGTAATTGGAACCAGGCCGGCAGCTTGCTCCTCGTTAACTGGAACAGCGAATCCGATCTTCCAAGTTGCCGGAAAGCAGACCACCACAATCTGACGCCGCTTTCACAGTCTCTCTCTCTCTCTCTCTCTCTCTCTCTCTCTCTCTCTCTCTCTCTCTCTCTCTCTCTCTCAGACTGAACTCGGCACCTCGAAGTATACCTTAAGAATCTTCCCTCTGTATCATATAAGTAAAGCCGAATTATAACGAAATATATCCCTGAAATATATTAAAGACAGCCTGTGACTTACGGTAAAAAGCCAGGATGTATTAAACAACCTTTGATCTATAGTGAAAAAAGCCGAAATATATTAAAAAATAAACTCTTATTTATGTTAAAATGCCGAAATATACCCAAAAGTATATCTCTTTGATAATATGAAAGTCCGAAATACAGTAAAACAGTTATTAGCCCCTGGTATAATATATCACAAGGGTATATATATATTAGACTATAGAACCTGGATATATTTAATAAGACTTGATAACTCTAAATTGTGGTTTAAAGCCGAAATATACCGAAAAATATCCCCAAGTTTGAGTTTCAGTCCGAAATAGATTGAAAAATATATATATTCCGACATAGTAAGAGGATGACGTGCCGAAATATATCGAAAATAACCCATAAAGTATAAAATAATAACGAAATATATTTATAATAACTATCCCTAAAGTGAGTCTATGTAATGCCAAATATATATATTACTAAAAATCTAATGCACAGGAGATGAAAACAAAATATATTCCCGTATAAATATATATCATTTGGGTCAGTTCATTGGCGTGTGGGAGAATATATTTCAAACCTACTCCGAAAAGCTTCAACTAATTCACTCTCACAAAGGTAAATAATTCTTCGGTGGCAACTCGAGACCGTGAGGAGAGGAGGGGAGGTAGGGAAGGTAAGGAAGGGGGTCAGGGTTGGTTGGGTAGGAGGGAGGGGAAGACGGTTGGGTGGGAGGGAGGGGAATAGCCGTCACCACCACTATCACCTCATCCTCCTCCTCCGCCGCCGCCGCTATAGATGACTGAATTAGTAAAGAAAAACGCCTCTTGATCCCCCTCTCATTCAGCTCCTAATGCCACTCCAAGTGTGTCAATTGGTATTATTCAGTCCGCTTTCAAAGGTTTCAATGCTCAATGCACACGTTCGCCAGCTCACTCACTCTCTCTTTCTCTCTCACTTTCTCACTCTCCCTTTCTCACTTTCACTCTCACACAAGTTATTATATAGGAGTGTCAAGGCGTGAAGGTTAAATCAAGGAATGTAAGTCTTTTATTCGTGTGTTAAAAGGGTATTAGCATCTCATTTGTGGTGGGAAGTTGTTCGTTCGACACACCCGCCATGTTGGGTTTAATTTACACCAAGAATATGTTGTTTATTTATTTATTTATTTATTTATTAAGTGAATGAGTGATCTATCTATCTATCTATCTATCTATCTATCTGTGTCTGTCTGTCTGTCTGTCTGTCTGTCTGTCTATCTGTTAATCCATCCAGATAGTTATTTTTATTTAAGTGGAGGTTGCACTGCTAGGGGAGGCACTGCTAGGGGAGGCACTGCTAGGGGAGGCACTGCTGGGGAGGCACTGCTAGGGAGGCACTGCTGGGGAGGCACTGCTGGGGAGGCACTGCTGGGGAGACACTGCTAGGGAGGTACTGCTGGGGGAGGCACTGCTAGGGAGGCATCTGCTGGGGAGGCACTGCTGGGGGAGGCACTGCTAGAGGCACTGCTGGGGGAGGCACTGCTGGGGGAGGCACTGCTGGGGAGACACTGCTAGGGGAGGCACTGCTGGGGAGGCACTGCTAGGGGAGGCACTGCTGGGGGAGGCACTGCTGGGGAGACACTGCTAGGGGAGGCACTGCTGGGGGGAGGCACTGCTGGGGAGGCACTGCTGGGGAGACACTGCTGGGGAGACTGCTGGGGAAACACTACTGGGGAAGACACTGCTGGGGGAACACTACTGGGGAAGACACTGCTGGGGAGTACACTGCTGGGGGAGGCACTGCTGGGGGAGGCACTGCTGGTGGAGGCACTGCTGGGGAGACTGCTGGGGAAACACTACTGGGGAAGACACTGCTTGGGGAAACACTACTGGGGAAGACACTGCTGGGGAGACAATGCTTTGGAAAACTGCTGGGAGATACTGATGGGGAGACACTGCTGGGGAGACACTGCTGGGGAGATCCTGCTGGGGAGATCCTGCTGGGGAGACACTGCTGGGGAGATACTGCTGGGGAGACACTGCTGGGGAGATCCTGCTGGGAGATCCTGCTGGGGAGATCCTGCTGGGGAGACACTGCTGGGGAGACTGCTGGAGAGACACCACTGCTGGGGAGACACTGCTGGGGGAGACTGCTGGAGAGACACTGCTGGGGAGATCCTGCTGGGGAGCCACACTGCTGGGGAGACTGCTGAGGAGACACTGCTGGGGAGACTGCTGGGGAGACACTGCTGGGAGACTGCTGAGAGACACCTCGCTGGGGAGATGCCTGCTGGGGAGACTGCTGGGGAGATCCTGCTGGGGAGACACTGCTGGGGGAGACAGTGCTTTGGAAGACTGCTGGGGAGACACTGATGGGGGAGATATTGATGGGGGAGACTGCTGGAGAGACACTGCTGGAGAGACACTGCTGGGGGAGATACTGCTGGGGAACTGGACTAAATCTTCAGGTCAACACACACACACACACACACACACACACACCTGACATGAATTTGAAGAGATTTGGGTGTTTGTGTTTGTTCTATTCAGTGTTGCATTGTTGTATGTTGCTCTCTCTCTCTCTCTCTCTCTCTCTCTCTCTCTCTTTTCTCCTTCTCCCTCCCTCAGTCCCTCCACCTACCCTCTCCTCCTCATCCCTCCTCCCCTCCCTTCCTCTTTCACTCTACCTAATCTTCTTCCCTACCTCCAAATCACTCCCTCTTTTCCTCCTTTCCTCCATCTATTCTCTCTTCTTTCATCTCTTATCTACCCTCCCTCGCTCCCTCCCTTCCTCCAGGCCGCGAGAACTCCTCACATCTCGCCAACTCTGGAAACTGTGGCTCAAGCGCCGTCTAACTGGTGAATTAAGGAGTGATTAACAGCCAATGGCAGCGTCTATTGTGTCAAGCGAGCGTCTGTCGGGTTCCAGCACTCCGCCACTCTCATGCTCAGGGAGGCGAGTTAACTAATTAAGGGAAAAAATATATATTACTTTTGTCTTGAAGATTGTGGTAGTCAATTATTATTTATTATTTATTGTTAGTTTTCAAGGATTTTAATGAGTTTTATTAATAGAGTGTCAGGTGTTTGTCATGGCTTCAACACGCCGCCGCTGCCACTTACAGGCAGGAAGTGATGAATTAACTCTTCAGAAACAATTTATATTAGGATTTATATTGTTTGTTTTTAAGATATGAAAAATAAACAGTTTTATTTCAATGTATATTATTATTTTCCTCGAGTTTTGTAAATAGAATACAGCGTTAATCACTCTGTAAATGACAATTTTTCTTTCATAATCTTTTGGCAATAATGATAGTCATATTATTTGACATCCATTACATATTATTACTTATATGGCGTTTTATAATTATTAGTAAACGAGGAATATGTAAGAATGTTGCCATGGTGATCTAACACTATCAGCCAGATACAAAATTGGAAGTAAAGTGTTTTGAAGAATATAAATCGTATTTTGTCTTAATTTATTTAAAAAAGGTGAGAAAAAATAATAATTATTTACTTTCTATCTTATATATAATGTTGTTTTTGATGGGTGTTTAAAGTGAAAATACAGGCAAGTTAGGTCTTATAAAAATATATAGAATATTCTCTTCAGGCGGTTTTATGTGGTTTAAACAAAGATTGGTTGATATTTTCTTACGGTTATTTTTTTGGCGGGGTCAAGGTAAGAGTTTGGTCGGGAAAATAAATTGTCCGGTGGCCACCGCGTTCCAACACCACGACGGCCAGATATACTGTACGAACTGGTGAGTAAACTCTTTTGAAATGTTTTTATTATTGTTACGCTGATATTTTCTGATTAAGGGAATATTAGGTGGTGAAAATATTTGTGGTTATTACAAGTTTATTAGGTAGCGATACTTGTTTTTAAGCCATTTTAATATTGAAAAAAAACATACTTAAATATTTCTAATGTGATGTTAAGCATCAAAAAACGTTTATAAATTATTAGGTGATGAAAACATTTGTAATTATCTTGGGGTGATGGAAAACTTTTGTAATTACACTGAATTAGATTTTAGCCTGAATTCCAGAGCAACAAGTCTTTGATACTGAGTGACCGCCATGTTCCAATACTCAGTCACCTGATGCAGGAGCTGGCCAGTTAATTCTTTTAAAAATACATTGATTTTTTTTCTTAATGCGTGATTTAAAACTGATTTGGTTTAAGTGTGATAGTAGACCAAAAATACTTACCTGTAAATTTCTCTGCCTTCCCTTCCTTCTGTCTTCTTCCACCCTCCCCTTTCTTCTCTCTTCCCCTTTACCTCACTCCTTCCCTCCTCCTCCCCACCCCACCCTATTCTTCACCTCCTCAACTATCCCCCACCCTCTCTACCCTACCCACCATCCGTCTCTTCTAACTATCCCTAACTCCCTCCCCCACCTTTCCTCTCCTACCCTTTATCCCTCCCATCTACAGTAGTTTTTTCTCCCATTCCTTCCTCCATCATCCCCTTTCCCATCTACCCTTCCCCTCCCTCCTCTGCCCAACCTAGCACCCATAATTCTCCTATCCCCACCCTCCCCATCGTACCTCACCTAAGCCTCCCCAATCTTCCCCACTCTATTTTTCCCCACCCCCAATTCCCCACCCCCCTCCCCCAAGACTCCTCGTGCGTATTTAAGTGCATATTACAGCCGCGCGACACTTGGCTTGACGCATTGTCGGGGCGTAGCAATTAGCGAATGACTTTTCCTCGCCAGTGAGAACAAAGAATGAAGGGTTCGACCCCCTGAGCGTTCGTGCGCCAGTGCTGACATACGGACGCCTGGCGAAAAACATCTCTTTCAAGTATTGTTTAATGTTTCGTTCAGATAACAATAATGATGATGAGAATGACAACAACAATGATAACAATGGAAGTAATAAAAAATAAATAATAATAATAATAATAATAATAATAATAATAATAATAATAATAATAATAATAATAATAATAATAATAATAATAATAATAATATAACCCACACAAGTTGTCGGAATTATTAGAAGTGACCCATTAATAGCAGGTTGACCCACCCTACCAAACCCACCTCACCCACCACCATCACACCTATTAACCCACCACCAACATTACTAACCACACCCCCACCACCACCACCAACAACACAACTTAACCCACCCCACCCCACCCTACCCTCTACCCAACACCCCACCCCATCCCACCCCAACACCCCACCCCACCCCACCCCACCCTACCCCTACCCACTCCTAACCTGGATTGTGAGCCATCTTACCTGTCCTGAAGTTATTAAGCTTAGTTGAGAAAGTTTTATTAAAAAAAGCTTTGTTGAGAAGGCTTGGGTGAGGTGTAATTAAGGTAGCTTAGTTGAAAAAGTTTTATAGTGAAAGCTTAACTGAAAAGCTTAGTTGAGAAAGCTTAGTTGCAAAGCTCAGTTGCGGAAGTTTTGTGGTGAAAGCTTAATTGAGAATTGAGAAAGCAGTTAGGAAAGCTTAGTGTGAGAATTTTTTGTGAGAAATCTGAAGAAATATTAGTTGAGAAAGCTTTGATGAGAAAACTTGATAGAGAAAGCGTAGGTAAAAAATGTACTGAAGAAAGCTTATTGAGAAACCAACCAAACAAACTACAGACAAACAAACAAACGTACATACAAACAAGCAAACATTTAAACATGCATACAAACACATACAAATAAACATACAAACAAACACATACAAACACATACAAATAAACATACAAACAAACATACATACAAACACATACATACAAACAAACATACAAACAAACATAAAAAGAAACATACATACAAACAAACACATACAAACACATACATACAAACAAACATACAAACAAACATAAAAAGAAACATACATACAAACAAACATACATACAAACACATACATACAAACAAACATACAAACAAACATAAAACAAAGAAACAAACAAACATACATACAAACACATACAAACAAGCAAACATTTAAACATGCATAAAACAAAGAAACAAACAAACATACACGCAAACAAACATGGGACTAAACAAAACAAGAATTAATCATTGGTCACGTTAATCTACATTTACTTGCCATTAAAATATCCCTCACGTCAGAAAACATCTATCAATCAAGTTAGGAAGGGCTGACACTGAACTGACAGGGCGGGTTGATACTGAGCTGACAGGAAGGGCTGACATTGAACTGGCAGGAATGGCTGACACTGAGCTGACAGGAAGGGCTGACACTGATCTGACAGGAAGGGCTGACACTGATCTGACAGGAAGGGCTGACACTGAGCTGACAGGAAGGGCTGACATTGAACTGGCAGGAATGGCTGACACTGAGCTGACAGGAAGGGCTGACACTGATCTGGCAGGAATGGCTGACACTGAGCTGACAGGAAGGGTTGACACTGATCTCACAGGAATGGCTGACACTGAACTGGCAGGAAGGGCTGACACTGAGCTGACAGGAAGGGCTGACATTGAACTGGCAGGAATGGCTGACACTGAGCTGACAGGAAGGGCTGACACTGAGCTGACAGGAAGGGCTGACACTGACTGACAGGAAGGGCTGACACTGAGCTGACAGGAAGGGCTGACATTGAACTGGCAGGAATGGCTGACACTGAGCTGACAGGAAGGGCTGACACTGATCTGGCAGGAATGGGACACTGAGCTGACAGGAAGGGCTGACACTGAGCTGACAGGAAGGGCTGACACTGATCTGGCAGGAAGGGCTGACACTGATCTGGCAGGAAGGGCTGACACTGAACTGACAGGAATGGCTGACACTGATCTGGCAGGAAGGGCTGACACTGAGCTGACAGGAAGGGCTGACATAAAACTGACAGGACACAGCTGAGAGAGAGAGAGGATACAACAATAGAATAAAGAGTGAGGCGAGAGAAATAAAGAAAGAACGAAAGGGAGAAAAGAGCAAATGAGAGAGAGGCTGATAAAGAAAGACAAAGAGGAACAGAACACGGCAAGATGAAAGAGAGAATGAAAGTAATAGTAAGCGTGAGTGTTATTAGTAGTAGTAGTAGTAGTAATGATAATAGTAGCGTTGAGAAAGATCGATTTATAATTATTTTTATTATAATTTCAAAGGGTATCAATATTAACACAACATAAAGTGAATCTACACACGTCAAGTACAATACAGTGCATAGTTTTTTCTAGGTCAACTATTAAGACGATGTTGAGTATATCTATCTAAATGACCTAAATGACCCTGAATGTTTTCTGATCCTCGAAAGGAAAGTCAGAAATATTAATATTTTCTACGTAAGAATTAAAATGAGTTTATTTTATTATCTGCTGCAAAATGGTCCGTTGTTGTGACAAAAGGAAGATAAGTTGTGAGGAGAGTGGCAGCAGCCTCGCTAAGATCCATATTACTACTAACAAAACTTAATCATCTCACAAACAAAGGCACGTCTCCCTCTTGCTGCCCAAACACAACTGGTAAATGGCCGCCTCGGAGATTTAACAGCGAAACTCCATAACCCCGCGGATGTGCATTGCGTAAATTGAATCTCGGGACTACCATTAAGTCAGTAGTGAACTGTGAGATGTCTGTCGCTGTAAACCCATTTCCTCGTCTTCCAAGCAAGCCTTTCTCCTTTGACAATCAGGGCCTAAAAGCTCCCCCCTCTTGGTCACCCGCCCCCCGTTGGAATTTAAAAGAGCCAGCGCCCTCTGCCGACGGGGAAGAAGCGCTCGGGACCCCGCGGGCATAGCACGAATTTGTTTGGCAACGCATTTTGGCTTTTAACTCCCCGAGCAACCATTAATGGAAGGTGACTTGGGCAAGATAGTGCTAGGGAGCGGAGTCGCCTAGGATGACTCTTCCAATTGCAGAACAAGAATGACTAAGCCTTATTACAGTAGGGAGGTGAGTATGTGTAGCTCGGCGCCTTGTAATGTTCTCTTGCCTGCCAGCCACTCGCGTCCGAACACGTCTATAGTCAACGCTCTGACGTGAGGGAGGAGTGTTGTTACGACTGTTTATAGAGCTTAAGTAACTCGTAAATGACTAAGCTTAATTATTCCCTATTAAATAATTTCCTCTTCTACATTAATAAACGCCACAATGATGGATTTAGTTGATCAGTATGTGAGTGAGTGTATGTGTGTGTGTGTGTGTGACTGCGGTGGTGGGTTTTACAGGGAGCGGAGTGTTGAGAGCCTAGCCGTAACATACACAAATGGTGATGGGTCGCCAGAGACACATACTCTCATAATTTCTGAGAATCAGTCTGTGTTCCCGGCACTGTGTGTGTGTGTGTGTCTGTGAAATGGGGAGATTATTTCTTGGTCTGCTGGGTTTTGTACGTGTATGAATGATTGTTTTAGAACATTAATGATAACAATAATAAATAATGATAACCAGGTATAAATGGGAATGTTTTAATAAATATATGAACGATTGTACTGTATATATGCCAAAACAAGGCTAGCCTATCCGAACTAACCATACGAGTGTAAATCAGAATAGATTAATTTAATCTTTAAATGAGGATTGGTGAGCTTACAAGAGTGTTAATTAATTTAGTGATAATAAGGCAGGTTAACTTGGACTAGTTTAGTATAATGGGTGCAAGACTGTAATTACTTTGCTGAATGTGTGCTCTTTGGTCACACTGTCGTCTTAACTTGGCAATATCTGGCATAATGTCTTCGGACTGTACATTTATTTATAGCTGGTGAACACTGTTGCTCTTAACTATGAATTTTATCTGTTTAACAACATGGAAACAAACACTGGAGTGTAAGATAATTTTAATTTCTTTTTGTAAATTAATGTTAAAATCCCAGGCTTTCTTCACCTACACAGCCCTGAAGTTGATGATGCCATATACTGTATGACACAAGAGTCCGGGGAATTTCATCTTCAATTTTACATTTTTCTCCTCATTCAATGAACAGGTTTCTCCACATGTTAACAGGTGTGTGAACGTTCATATTTATACATAATTTGTTGATCTGTCGTCGATGTAAGATGAACTGTTGTACAAACTACTGTTACGCTAACTACCAGTTAAGTGTGTTGACTGCCAGGCCATGCATGATTGGCTAAGGCTGAGGACTGACCACACTGGGCAGGCGGGCCTGGTGGGCAGTCAGTAGGTCAGAGAAGAAGCGGCAGTTCCCGGTGTTGACTCCTGTAAGATGTGTTTATGTAAATAGTGTTGACAATCATCTGACAAGAATATCACCTTGTTGAGTGTGTGTTCGAACGGCTGGTCCATCACCCTGCGGCAACGTCTGAAACATGTGAGTGTTTCATAATAACTTCCTCGATATGATGCTTACCATACGCTCATATGTTTTGATGATAGTTTCGGACACTTCTGCAGCATAACTGTTTTTCTTACGACTTTTTATTATAGAATGCATGTTATTTATTGCCTTTAGATCGTTGCAATACTCGGCAGTGAAGTAAAATATCAAGTGATTTTTTTTTTTTACGCGAAGCGTTACCATCATCATCGTCTTTACACCAAGCATCCCTGTGGAAGACTTTGCGTTTATAAACTTTTACTTGTGACTAACGATACAAACCAACTAGATTAAATAGACTTAGCTTAAAACACTAAGATCGATAGGATAGTTGATTAAGTTAGGTTTAGTTGGGTATGTTCTTGTTATAGGAAGTCGGAAATTATTTAATATACCCGTAACCCTCATCACTCGCGGTTTGTTGACACTCCCACTAACTTTATAATTTAGTTTGTAATTTAAATTAAACATTGGATAAGGATTCGTGAACAAAATATGAAGAATTAACACTACAGCCATAAACCGAATCTCAGCTGTTGAAATAGTGACTAATGACTTTCCAAACTAACTTAATTATTCCCTTCAGTACAGTGCATTACCTCCCATACCTTAACATAACCCAACTTCACCCTAATATATATGAACCCTTTTAGTACATTGACGTAAGCCCAGGAGTACGATGACTTAATCCCCTGAGTACAATGACTTAATCCCTTGAGTACGATATTTTGAAACCTTGAATACAATGACTTACTTAAACCCTTAAGTAAGTATGTAAACCCCTTGAGTACGATATTCTGAATCCTTGAATAAAATTACGTACTTAATCCCTTGCCTACCATGTTTTGATTCTGAGAACGTTATAATTATTGTATTCAGGTACTCTGTAAACAAACAAGAGTCCCTCTGCCAACACAAACACTAAATTCCTCTGCCAACACAAACACCAAATTCCTCTGCCAACACAAACACCTTCACAAACACACGCGTCAACAGTCATCGTAAACACCATGTGCTTCTATATACTGTATGGTTTCTTTACACACACACAGCAGGTACAGTCAGTCGTGTTAACTGGAGCTATTACTTCTCTTGTAAGGTCTCCAGGGCTGGGCTGCTTCTCCTCACTTTCAAGGGCAAGGTGTGTGTGTGTGTGTGCGCGCGTGTATGTGTGTCATAATATTAATAATAATTAACGGTTTATTGAAAAAGCATGGCAGCTGGAAGGCTGAAAATATAGGTTCATAATTGGGGAATGGGTCGTGTGTGTGTGAGTGAGTGAGGGAGTTTGAGTTGATGTGCAGGCCAGTAATTGGATCACCTGAAGATTAACCACCCTAGTTTATTTCACGTGATGATTTAAAACACCCTAATGCTACCCTGGAAGAGTTAGATTAGGTTAAGTTAGGTTACGATATGTTTGAGTTACGTTGGGTTAGGTTAGGTATTAGTGTATGTTAGATTAGTTTGTTAGATTGGATTAGGTTACGTTACGTTGAGTTAAGTATTAGGTTGAGTTAGATTAGAGTTATTTCATTACGTGATATAAGTTAGGCCCGCAGTGGTGTCAAACTCAAAACCTTTCTAGGGCCACTTCTTATTTTAGTTACCCTCTTCAGGCCAACACAAGTGCTATATCACATATTAGCAGGATTGAAGTTGACAGCTTCACACATCGCCTCACCTGTCTTACCGGGAATACCTCATTTGGGTTTGTCTGATCTTAAGTTCGTCAAATTCATTTTACTTAATAAACATGATTATATTTATTTCTATAATAATTTAACGGGATGATAAATTTTACCGTCATCCCGCGGGCCACACCTGACCATCCCAAGGGCCACATTTGGTCTGCGGGCCATGAGTTTGACACCCCTCTGTTAGGAGGTCTAATCTTCAGGTGATCCAAAGTGTTGAGCGCGATCTCGAGAATCTTGACAACAGGAGAGGAGGAGTAAGGGCCGGTCTGTGGGGTTGATAATAATTAACGACTTATGTGTGGTATAATCCATTAAAACCTAACCGAACCAACCGAACCTAACCTAACCTAACCTAACCGAACTAGACCTAATATCCAAATGATCTTAGGAGCTAATCTCTCTCCCCCATGACACCACTACCCATTCTTCTCCCCCATGACACCACTACCCATTCTTCTCCATGACACCACTACCCATTCTTCTCCCCCATGACACTACTACCCATTCTTCTCCCCCATGACACTACTACCCATTCTTCTCCCCCATGACACCACTGCCCATTCTTCTCCCCATGTTGCTACCCCATTCTTCTCCCCCATTTTCTACCCATTCTTCTCCCCATGACCACTACTACCCATTCTTCTCCCCATGACACCACTGCCCATTCTTCTCCCCACCTTGTACCACTACCCGGTCTTCTCCCCCCATATTTTTCCACTACCCATTCTTCTCCCCATGACACATACCCATTCTTCTCCCCCAGCAGCCACCACTTCCATTCTTCCCCATGACACCCTACCCATTCTTCTCCCCCGTGACACCGCTACCCATTCTTCTCCCCCATGACACGACTACCATTCTTCTCCCCCATGACACCACTACCCACACATTCTTCTCCCCCATGGGCACCACTACCCATTCTTCACATGACACCGCTACCCATTCTTCTCCCCCCATGACACTACTACCCATTCTTCTCCCCCATGACACCACTACCCATTCTTCTCCCCCATGACACCACTACCCATTCTTCTCCCCCCATAAGGGATAGACCCATTCTTACCCATCCTTTCTCTATTTTCTTCTTCCTTCCTTTCATTCCCTATTTATACTGCTTCCCTTTTTATTCCCTTCCTGCCATCTCCCTTATTCCTGGTAGGAGTATCGTGTTTCTCTCTCTCTCTCTCTCTCTCTCTCTCTCTCTCTCTCTCATCCCTAACACATCGATATCAAGGGTCTTTTAAAAGCATTTCTCTGGCCTTTGTACCGTCGTTCAACCACAAGTGTGTGTGTGTGTGTGTGGTGTGTGTGTGTGTGTGTGTGTGTCTGTCTCAAGTAATGTGATTTATTCCTGGTTATAACTTACATAGAGATAGTGTTTTTTTTTTGTTTTTTACCGTTGAAACACAGAAAGCACAGTAGCCATGTCTTTATTGCTTGTTCTTGGGTCAGTTTATTTTGTTATACCTTCTAGATAATATTCTGAGCATTATAAACATTTTAATGTAACTACCGAAGCGGATGAAGCTTTATGATGCCTTTGAGTATAATGATATGTTATTGAAGGGGTTAAAGTCATTGTGCTGAAGGGGTTAAAGTCATTGTACTGAAGGGGTTAAGTCATTATACTGAAGGGGTTAAGTCATTGTACTGAAGGGGTTAAGTCATTGTACTGAAGGGGTTAAGTCATTGTACTGAATGGGTTGTCATTGTGCCGAAGTGTGTTAAGTCATCGTACTGAAGGGGTTAAGTCATTGTACTGAATGGGTTAAGTCATTGTACTGAAGGGGTTAAGTCATTGTACTGGCGGGGTTAAGTCATAGTATTGAAAGGGGTTAAGTCATTGTACTGAAGGGGTTAAGTCATTGTACTGAATGGGTTGTCATTGTGCCGAAGTGTGTTAAGTCATCGTACTGAAGGGGTTAAGTCATTGTACTGAATGGGTTAAGTCATTGTACTGAAGGGGTTAAGTCATTGTACTGGCGGGGTTAAGTCATAGTATTGAATTAAACTATTACAATGAAAGAGACGATGATTTAACACTTGAAGGACGATGATGTGACACTAAGGACGATGATTTAACACTAAAGACGATAATTTTAACACTAAGGACGATAATTTTAACACTAAGGACGATAATTTTAACTCCAAGGACGATGATTTTAACACTAAGGGCGATGATTTAACACTAAGGACGATAATTTTAACACTAAGGACGATGATTTTAACACTAAGGACGATAATTTTAACACTAAGGACGATGATTTTAACACTAAGGGCGATGATTTAACACTAAGGACGATAATTTTAACACTAAGGACGATGATTTTAACACTAAGGAACGATGATTTAACACTAGGCGATGATTTAACTAAGGACGATGATTTTAACACTTTAAGGACGATGACTTAACACTAAGGACGATGACTTAACACTAAGGACGATGACTTAACACTAAGGACGATGACTTAACACTAAGGACGATGATTTTAACACTTTAAGGACGATGATTTTAACACTTTAAGGACGATGATTTTAACACTTTAAGGACGATGATTTTAACACTTTAAGGACGATGATTTTAACACTTTAAGGACGATGATTTTAACACTTTAAGGACGATGATTTTAACACTTTAAGGACGATGATTTTAACACTTTAAGGACGATGACTTAACACTAAGGACGATG